TTTCTCCTCTTTTCTGTTATGTGTAGTAGTATTTAATATTTATTTTATTTAAATAATATTAAAATAAGCTCTTTTTATTAAGCTTTTTTTATTCATTAATAGAATGCACTTTTTTTGTCATGCGTTTGTCATACTGCCTTTAATTTGTATGATTTTAAATACAGTAAAAACATTAATATTGTGAAATATTATTACCATATTTAAATAACTGTTTTCTATTTGAATGTATTTTAACATACAAGTTATTCCTGTGATGCAAAGCTGAATTTTCAGCATCATTACTCCAGTCTTCAGTGTCACGTGATCCTTCAGAAATCATTCTAATATGAAGATTTTCTGCTCAAGAAACATTTCTTTTTATTATCAATATTGAAAACAGTTGTGCTGCTTAATATTTTTGTAGAAACCATGATAGATGTGTTTTATTCCTTTATTGATGAATAGAAACAGCATTCTTTTAAACTTTGCTATTTTTCCTTATTTATTTTTTAATCATATTTTTTATTTATATTATATTTGTTTATTTGTCTTGTTTATGTTTAGATTATTTACTCATTTGTTTTACATAAATTCATATTTTAGGATCACCCTGTACTGGATTTGGGTCAGAGTTTGAATATGATCAGTCTTATACCACTTCTTTCCTCTGCTCTTCCTACCAGGGCATTGGATGCTATATGTTCCGCATTGACGACTTTGACGTTGTAGATGCCACGATGCACGGTAATGCAGCACGGTTCATCAACCACTCCTGTGAACCAAACTGCTACTCTCGAGTCATCAATGTGGAGGGTCAGAAGCACATAGTCATTTTCGCCTTGCGGAAGATCTACCGTGGAGAAGAGCTGACCTACGACTACAAGTTCCCCATTGAAGATGCCAGCAACAAGCTCGGCTGTAACTGTGGTGCCAAGCGCTGTCGACGCTTCTTAAACTGAGGAAGAGGGATGGAAAAGTTGCAGTGCAACTGCACGACAATGGAGCTAGACGGGTAAAAACACTGGGCCGAGGCTTGACGGGTAAAGGGGGGTCCAAGCAGAGGGTTTCAAAGCTTCAATTTGAAAGTCCTTCATTTAAAAGGACCACTAACTTTTAAACAGCTGTTGTGGAGCCAATTATGTCCTTGAATCGTGATTCCTGCCGACCCTTAGACATTCAGTCCAGTAGAGCCGATGACGCATGATTGATGATGTGTGGAAACATGATCATGGCCTTTCAAGAACATTTTCCATTGTGCTGCATCCTTTGTGGTTCACTAACTGTTTTATCTGAATATTACTGGTTTGGAAAAGAGTCTCGGTCTCAGTCATAGCAATTTCTTTTTAACCAGTTCATAAGCAGCAAAGTAAAACAAAAAAGCGGCACAAAGATAGAACTTTAGCCAGAGTCGTCGTATATTTTGCAGCAAAATTGCAGCTTTTAAATGATTCCTATAGGCTTTTTATGCGTTTTAAAAGCTGAATGGAAATGGCCGCTGCCAAGATTTCAGAACGTTCTGTTCCCGTGACCGACCTTTAAATCTCAACCCTCCTCCCTTTTTCTTTTTCTCCTTCGAGCCGACCGTAAAGTGCTGGATTCTCAAGATCTGAACAAAAGTTTTCAGTGCGGACCACGTAGTGTGTGAAGGCTTGGCGGCAGCGAAGATACTCTGTAAAAACATGTCTATTACTAATCAAATGATGTGAACGTATTAATTCAGATCTGTATCTATCGATTTTATTTTAGAACTGAGAAAGACTCACACTGCTCAGGACAACATTGTTAAAACCCCTCAGTATAACCCATGGATCCACTCCCTGTGCATGGCCGTCGGTAACGGACACGTTCTGTTGAAGCATCTAGTGGTCTTTTCATCCGTGTCAGATTTTTCGCTTGAAAAACCCCTATAAGGCTTTTTATTTTTAATCTTTTCATTTCAATAATTTATTTTTAGTTTTCATTGCATTTTTATAGTCATGTCTAAACACTTTCTGTTCACCAAACTGTTTTTGGTCTAAAACTGTATTAGGTGGTTTTTAAACTTGATGACCTCCATGGTGCTAAATCAAACAAACAGTCCAAAAGGGGAAACGAATTACTTCCTCTGTTTCATCTCTTGTTAGAAAGCCGATGCAAGCTGTAATGCTGCAAGCGATACTAAAATAGCAAAGCAAAACCAGTCGTGCTTTCTAACAATGTGCCCATGTATGTCTATGGTGTTTTCAGACCCCATTCCGAATACTCGAAGAGCAACGTTTTAGCATGTTTGTGCTTTTTATACCTCTTGAGAGCCTTGTGTCGAAACAAAATCATGCCTGGAGAGCGTAGAAGTATATTCGTGTTTCTTTTCATCGTGTTAGTAGAGGACACTACTTTAAGCTAGTCGTGACTAACCGCATCCTCATTGCGTCACAGCTTTTAAAGGTGTGATGACGTCGTGGATTGTTCCTGCAATAAAATCATTTTTGCCACAATTGCACATACAATTGGAGCTCTACATTTACTGCTTAAAGTGTCCTATAGATGTAGGACCACAAAGGCGATGTATACTGGTGACTTACAGAATCTATATATATTTATAGAAGAGTTATTAAAAGTTTTTCAGCAGATGGTGGCACTCGGCACCTTAATTTTCCTTGAAAGATTTGGAGTTGGTTATCTTCTTCGTGTAGGAAAAAAATCAAGCTGATGCCATCGTTCATCGAAGCGTATAAAAGATTGTTCGGACTTTAGAAGCGTTCTATTTATTCCTGTTTGTCTTTATGGGAGATTATACCCATAGGTCTGTGCTTTTTGTATGTGACCATGGTCTTATCAGAGTTTTCTTCAGGTTTTTTTTTTTTTTTTTTTTTTAAACCTTTTCCCCATTTTCTTTCCTTTTTTAACTTGGAACATTGAGGATGAGTTCTTGCAACGTGGCCTTTTTTATGAGGTGATGTTTTGAGCCAGCTGTTTGTTTTATGTCTTAGTTGTTCGCTTTTATTTAACTTTCTAAACGGAGCAGTTTTCTTCCCCCACACTATCGTCTCCTGCTTTTTCTTTGTTTCGTGAGTTTTGCTTGGAGTGGGCGTCTCCATCAAGAACCTTAAATTTATCAGATTTTAATCAAACCACCCCAGACTTGCAAGGATTCTACCTCAAGCTGTTCAGACAACGTCAAGTAATACTAATGCAAAACTAGATTTGCTTGGTCTGTTCTGTCATGCCAGAGTTGGCTCGTGTGCAATGAAGGATGCGAAGCACTAGTCAGGACCTCTTGTGATGATGTGTTTCCCAGAGCTTCTTGGGAAAAGAAAAATCTGTCTGTTCCTGTGTAGGTTATTTTAAAAAAACAACAACAACCTTGTGTTGAAAGACAAAAAAAAAAAAAAAAAAGTGTCTTTGCTACCTTGTACAAACGACCCCTAAGTTTGTAAATAGTTGTATACATATTTCTAAACCTGTTTAATTTTTCTATGCACTTTTTTATTTATAATGTTTTTGCTTAATAAAGATGTACAATGTTTGAACAAAGTTCAAGATTTATTGTGGTCTTTGAGCTGAACATACAAAAAGCATCATTGTGCACCACTAATAACCAAAGATATTGCTTGATTTTTTTTTTATAAGATGAAATCAAATGAGAATAATATATAATATTATAGAATAACTCATATTATAGAAATATATATAAAAATAACTATTTCAGGAATTGTAGTAGTAATTTAATAAAAAGCCAAAATATTTGGTTATGCACTGTTAATATTTTGACATATACAAAAGTAAACATTTAACAAAGTTGAACTAGAGTGAAAACGAGATACAAAATTGTGCAGTAAAAAACTTTGTTCCTAGATGCTTCCATATGGACTCCACACACACACACACACACACATCTGTTACCCATTACATTTGTTTATGCCGTTTTCAGTCCAAACCACTCTAGAGGTTCACATTGGGTGCGTCTCTGAATCTTGGTATCGAATATGGAGTATACTGGAGTATAAGTGTGCAAATAATATAACACAACCTCATGATATTTTACACCAAAGTGTAAAATATACAGAGAAAAGAGGTGTGTAAATTTTACCATTAGGCATTGAATCTTTTTTTTTACTCCTAAAAGGTTTATAATAGTACATTAGAGTACAAATATGTGCCTAAAGGTACTACTATTAACCTTTTTTTTTTGGTAAAAAAAAAGGTACAATGATGTCATTTTAAAGGGGTCCTATAATGCCCTTTTCACAAAATGTAATATAAGTCTCTGATGTCCCCAGAGTGTGTATGTAAAGTTTTAACTCAAAATCCCCCACAGATATTGTTTTATAGCATGTTAAAATTTTCACTTTTTGGGGGTGAGCAAAAACGCTCTGTTTTCATGTCTGTCCCTTTAAATGAAAACAAACTGCTGCTCTCGGCACACAGGGCGCAGCTTCAACAGCGTGTGTGTGTGTTAGCAGCTCCAATTACCTCACACAGATTGTTGAAAATGTCAAACACTTTTAGCCTTTTATGTTCAAACCGGAGTCAGACCGTGATGGAGAAACTCAAGAAGAAGTGACAACATGTAGAATGCAACAGGACATTTCTGAATGTTTACTTGATGAATTTATGTAGCTGACTATCTTCTAGTCATTGATTTAGCATATTCTGTTATGATAATCTATACGTCACGTGGTTTATGTAAATGGGAGGCAGGCTTTATGTACATTTTAGGGTTGGTGATGTCACTAACCCATAAAGAAGCTCATTGTAAGTCCCTACCGGCCGTTTGTTGTAGTTCTTAAAAAGCAATTTCTATCAAATAAAATATCTCCCTTTGCTTTGAACTTCGAGCATTGTAACTTTGCAGATGTTATATATGCTCAAACAGCAGCATTACAACTAACTAAAGTCAAAAAAATGAAATCCTAATCAACCACCCCTTTAAGGGTACTGCCCCAGTCGTGGCAAGCTGTTGTAGGCTCCCCCTAAAGGTAAAATTTGTCCTCCCTTTTTTTATTTATCTGTGTGTAGTTACGAATTGCAATGAGAGTGTGTTGAACAACACTATATAGAGAAGTTTAATACTGCGTTGTTTTCTTCCAATACCACATTAGTTATTCTTCGACACCAGCTGGGAGCTTTGCCAAAATCTCCACGGCATCGTTGCGACCGATAGCGGTTAACAGCTTAGCAAGGTGGCCGACGGTCCATTCTGGGTTCTTGGTGACGACACCCTCCAAAACGGTGACAAGGGGACTTTTGTGGTCCTTCATGGAATATGCATAATTGATCCAGGCAAAGGAAAAAGAGCACTGGGCGGCAATGTGACGTGTATTTTTTGCACCAGAGATGTCCGGGTCTAAAACCAGCACAAGCTCCTCCAGAACATCCAGGTTGTTCAGCACAGTTTTCAAAGGTGCACCCTGGATCTCAGGAGCTATGATTATAAATGAAATTAGGAGTTACACTTTATTTCGATAGTCCACTGCTAGTAACTTTGCAACTACATGTCAACCAACCCATTAATTTACCATTATTAGGTTAGAGTTAGTAGAATAAGTTGAACTTACTATAGTAATAATAAACAGTAAATTAAGCATAATTACAAGTAACTAACCTAAACCAAACCCTAACTGTAACTCTATAGTAAGTACATGTAGTTAAATAATTTTACTCAGTACTTACTAGAGTAGGTACAATGTAACTACGTCACCTTAAAATAAAGTGTTACCAAATAAGGTGACATGTAGTTGCAAAGTAATTATAGTCTGTAGGGGGACCATTAAAAAATAAAGTGTTAGCAGATATTAAGCAGACAGTCTACTAATACTCTAATGACTGCTAGTTAACATGGAGATGCAAAGTTACTTATAGTTAGTAGAATGTGGACTATTGAAATAAAGTGTTACCGCATTAGATGTTTATGGAAAATCACAAACCCTCTGTTTACTGTAAACACACCTGCAAGGAGTGGTTTCATATAGGGTCAAATGAAACTACTGTAGTTTTTTTTTCTTTTTTCGTACACCCACCTAACAGATACGCCGATCCAGTCAAGTGATCGCTATTATCGCTTTCTTTGATTATGTTGTATGAGACGGACTGTTCATATCCCTTGATGCCCTTTATGGACAGACTTTCCCGAACTGCTCCATTACGTTTTTGAATTTCTGTGAAACAAAAGAAATTCCTGTTATTATCTTTCTTTAATCTTGTGATTAATTACAAATTGCATCATAGTAGCACTCAAGCCTTTGTGATGTAGAAATTGCAATAATGTAATACTAAAAAGATAACAGTTAAAGATGCACTCTTAGAAGATATGGTTCTATATATGTTATAATGTTATGGGTTAGGGTTAGTTTTAATTTTGTTTTAATTTATTTTTATTTCATTTTATGAATTAAATAGCTCATAAACATATACTAATATCGGTATAAAAAATTGAAGTAACCCTTTAACATGAAAGTATTATGCAATCATTTAAGACATTTCTCTTTATATAGAACCATTTTTTGCAATTAGGATTGTTTAAAATTTAAGAAGCCTATAGGGTTCTATATTGAACCCCATTAAACCTTTTTTCTGAGACTGACACGTGTAATTTCTGTACTGCCACTGTTAACACAAAATGGGTTTACAAAATAAATGATGATTGTTTCATACAACACTGACCAATATTACATTCCAAAAAAAAAAAAAAAAAATCCTGCCAAAAACAAAGCCTAGCGAATGTTTTGAGAGAACACACTTCTTGGTAGCCAGACGTAGTCATACTCAGATTCTAGTCAGAATATTCAGATTCTTCCCGACCTCAAATGCTGTGGGCTAAGTTCGGCTGGTATCCAGGCTAACTTCTCGGAGGAATATGTTTATGAATGGCTTACTTGTTCTGCCTCTGCATGTCGGCTTCTAAAACTAACTATTAAACTAACTATTTCAATATAATATTGGATCAGCCTCAGTCAGACATGACAGGAAACAAAAATATTTAACTTTCAGGACATCCTCCAAATGTTTCTTCCTGTGACTGACCTTCATTAAAATGTTTTGTCCTCCTCCTCTTAATAACCAAGAACAGACATACCAGAGTGAGAGTGGATAAAATCCCTAAACATACATAGATCCCTGCAAAGAAAAACATCAAATTTACTTTTGTTTTACATAGAATCCAACACATTCTATTTTTCTTTCTCTCTTGTTGTGTTTGTATTGAAAAGGCTACATTTTGACATGTACTATAGAGAATCAGATCAACACCAAGCACTGAATACTGATACTGTAAATATGTATTCTACTGTTGAAAGAAATTTGAAAGAAATGAATACTTTAATTCAGCGATCGTGCACTGAAGTGATCAAAAGTTACAGCAAAGAGTTTTTCGTTCTACAAAAAAGTTCCATTTCAAATACTGTTCTTTAGAACTTTCTATTCATTAAATAATCTTGAAATGTTTTCACAATCTTGAAAATATTCCACAAATTATCAAGCAACCCATGTTTTCAAATCAAATAAATGCAGCCTTGGTATTAGTCTACTGGAAGATATTTCTTTCAAAAACATTTAGAAAAATCTTACAGCACCAAACTTTTCAACAGTAGTATATGTATGGTGAACTGTTGTAGAGATAACGATTAAAAACACTGATATGCAAAACAATACCTGTCACATTTATGACATGAGGTGGGGTTTGAGAGGTGATTGAGCTGCCAACAGAGGCAGCAGAAGCAGCAGCAGTAGTAGTAGTAGTAGTAGTAGTAGTAATCCTACTCACAGTCTAAAAAAAAAAACAGTGTACACTGTGAAAATGGCGTATTTAGCTTTTACTAAAGCTTATGTAAATATCTCTCAGCTTTAGACGAGAGAGCACTGTTGGACAAAGGGAGAGCCAACTCGAAGATACTAAGTTACAATCTTACTGTTACTGTGGTCTGCAACGGCTGAGTGATGCATTTTCCATCGAAAACCCTGCAAAAAAGATAATTATAGGAATAAAAGACAAGCAGATTTAAAGCTCGCTTTTATCCTACTGTATCGTGCCACTTCTTGGCATCAAAATAATAGTCAAACCGTAATAATTAGCTTGTTTTCGATTTTCGAAACTTAAATTATCGTTAAGATTAGACTGAATTCATTTTAATGCAGGTTAAAACAAACAAACAAGTAAGCCTAGTACATAATAAATGTAAAAACAAAAACCTACCCTTGTTTACAGCAGATGGTGTCAGAGGTTGTGTTGCATGCAATAAACGGCGTTATGCACGAGGAACATTTGAGGCATTTAACGTGAGATCCGTTGTTATATGTTCCATTTTCGCATGGTTTGTAAGCTGACTTGATTTGCTGTTGTTCGTCGGACCAGCCGCAGTTTTCAGTGAATTCGAAACCTGCCGTTAAAAAAGAACTATATTTTTGTTTCATTTGTTTCAGTGGTTTTCAAAAGTTTAAAACGATTACAAATGCGCACATTTTCGTCGGTCACAAACTCATTTTACATAGGCCTAGGCTACGTGTCCACTTGAGGACGAACACAACAACGTCTAAAATATCCACTTTATTATAGGCTACAACACGAATAGAAAAAAAAAAAAAAAAAAAACTCTAATGTTATTTGAAACTCTTTTAGATAGGCTAACTGACTATTAAATGACTGCGCTAGAGTCGAAAATATTTGCTTTAGGCAACATTACAACCTCGCCACGAAATTATAATTCTCATTCGTTTACGTGTAGGCTAAATAAGAGACGATTAACCGAACACTGAATTTGAGACTTACCTGCTTGGATTTTATATTTAGACTCGCATGGCTGACATTTATGCGGAGCACGATTCCAGAATTCATCATCTATACACCTATATGAAGTCATTGACGCTGCTGATGTTGGATTGAACGTTTCCTTGACTGCACTAAACTGAAATTCTGACTGACTGAAGATAACCAGCAGAAGGGGAGGAGGAGTTGGGTGGGTTGTGAAGCAAAATGGCACCATGATTAAACCATTATGCATAACCAACAGACACAGTGTTACTCTCAGAGAAAAGCACTAGTCAATCAAGGTCTATACAATGAAGCTGTGACATCAGCTGTTTGCTAGGCTGCTTTTTAAAGTTTTTTGTATTTATAAAATATATTTTTCTCTTTAAATATTAACATCAACTGTTTTTGGTTTTGTTTTCTTGTTTTCAGTCATCTCTAAACGGTTTAACCTGATAGAGCTTATGTGGATATGACATTACTGATCTGTCCTTTCTGCTGGAGTCTGTTGAGACACCTGGATTAGGATAAATTGATCACGATTAACTTTGATTCCAGTCGAGACATCCAGATCCAGGGTGTCCTCAGTCCTTGCTTGTGTGACCAGCTGCCCAATGTCCAGTGCTATTGCGGGAATCACAACTTAGGTAAGACAAACTTCTTCTTTCTTCATTGTGTTGGTGGGGTGCCCTATTTTAATTTAGCCTTGGTCAAAATTGCTAGTAATTCAATAGTCTTGGTTTTATTTTATTTTTTCAAAGTAGGCCTATTTGCTCTCTAATTGAACATTTATTTTCCTGCTTATTTTTTTATGCCAATTTTTTTTTCTTACTCATGTTTTTGTTTTGCTTTCCAATACAAATATCTAAATATTCTTAAATCAAGATACATTTGTTTTCTGAGAAAAAAAATACAAATTAAGTGAGTTTGTGCTTACATCTGTCAGTGGGATCAGAGAAATAAACTTATCTGAAGGGAGAACAAGATTATTTTTCTGACCCCATTGGCAGATTTTTTTAAAGCATAAATTCTCTTAATTTTGATAGATTTTTCAGAAACCAAGACTTAAGGGATATATCGCCCCCAAAAAATAATATTCTGTCCTCATTTCCCTCAGATTTGTCTAAACCTGTATGAGTTTGTCAGGCCAAATTTTATTTGTTGATGTAGGTTTTTGCCTTTTAGCAATGTCATCTAAAAACATAATCTAAAAAATGTAGCCATGGCTGCAGCAGTTCAAAAACCCCAAACTAAAATACGCAAGCAATCACAAGTTAACCCTTTGGCATGCCTGTGTCATAAGAGTAAAGTTTATTGGAGGCTCATGTAAGCATATTAATGTCTTTTTCCTGCTGAGCCAGCAGATGAAGAAGCTTAAACTGTTTCCTGTAAGTCCACCCTTCCTTCACATCCTGTGCATATTTTTTCCCCCTTTATAAATCGTTTGACCAAACAATTATAAAAAATAAAAATAAAATTGTAAACATGGAAATACTTCTCTAGCATTTAATTGCACTTAAACAGTGATACATACATTTACATTATTCCATACTATAGAGACATATTTGACAATCTTTTCTTTTTGGCAAGGTTTTGGATTCAGCTTCACCTCCTTAGCATAAAGTAGTGCCATGTTCAGAATCATGCGGAGTGGGGACAGAAGCGCTCCTGTCGCAGATGGCAGAGGGACCTCAGGTGATGACAGGACCAGATCAGCAACAATCAACAATCTAAAGCTCAAATCCAGCTTTTTGTGTTGAGCAAACCTGGAGATGGAATACGCCACCATATACCTACTTTCCCACAGTGGGTCAACACATATTGAAACATCACTTTTAGCTATTGTCATCATTGACTCATTCTTAAAGAGAAAGATGACATCAAAATGAAAATTCAGTCATCATTTACTCACTCTCCATGTTGTTTCAATCATGTTCAATCTTCTGTGGAAAGAAAGACCTAATATACACTCACCGGCCACTTTATTAGGTACACCTGTCCAACTGCTCGTTAACACTTAATTTTTTAAGCAGCCAATCACATGGCGGCAACTCAGTGCATTTAGGCATGTAGACATGGTCAAGACAATCTCCTGCAGTTCAAACCGAGCATCAGTATGGGGAAGAAAGTTGATTTGAGTGACTTTGAACGTGGCATGATTGTTGGTGCCAGAAGGGCTGGTCTGAGTATTTCAGAAACTGCTAATCTACTGGGATTTTCACGCACAACCATCTCTAGGGTTTACAGAGAATGGTCCGAAAAAGAAAAAACATCCAGTGAGCGGCAGTTCTGTGGGCGGAAATGCCTTGTTGATGCCAGAGGTCAGAGGAGAATGGCCAGACTGGTTGGAGCTGATAGAAGGGCAACAGTGACTGAAATAACCACTCGTTACAACCGAGGTATGCAGCAAAGCATTTGTGAAGCCACAACACGCACAACCTTGAGGCGGATGGGCTACAACAGCAGAAGACTCCACCGGGTACCACTCATCTCCACTACAAATAGGAAAAAGAGGCTACAATTTGCAAGAGCTTACCAAAATTGAACAGTTGAAGACTGGAAAAATGTTGCCTGGTCTGATGAGTCTCGATTTCTGTTGAGACATTCAGATGTTAGAGTCAGAATTTGGCGTAAACAGAATGAGAACATGGAACCATCATGCCTTGTTACCACTGTGCAGGCTGGTGGTGGTGGTGTAATGGTGTGGGGGATGTTTTCCTGGCACACTTTAGGCCCCTTAGTGCCAATTGGGCATCGTTTAAATGCCACGGCCTACCTGAGCATTGTTTCTGACCATGTCCATCCCTTTATGGCCACCATGTACCCATCCTCTGATGGCTACTTCCACCATGTCACAAAGCTCTAATCATTTCAAATTGGTTTCTTGAACATGACAATGAGTTCACTGTACTAAAATGGCCTCCACAGTCACCAGATCTCAACCCAATAGAGCATCTTTGGGATGTGGTGGAACGGGAGATTCGCATCATGGATGTGCAGCCGACAAATCTGCGGCAACTGTGTGATGCCATCATGTCAATATGGACCAAACTCCCTGAGGAATGCTTCCAGCACCTTGTTGAATCTATGCCACGAAGAATTGAGGCAGTTCTGAAGGCAAAAGGGGGTCCAACCCGTTACTAGCATGGGGTACCTAATAAAGTGGCCGGTGAGTGTATTTCTCTGTATTTTTTTTTTTTTTTTCATAGAATGGCATAGCCTGGGAAAACCCAGGCAACTTCCGGCAAATTTAGATTTGCTCTGAAAGTTCTGGCAAAGAGCTCATAGAGTGCCGACGTTACGACGTCACTCTGTAGGCCAAAACGCCGGAAGTGAGTTAGCATTTTAGCACTCCCGGTTCCCTCGCTCTAAAGTCTATGGGATTTTTGAATGGGTTTTTGCTAAATCGCCTGAAATAAGGTCTGTGGTGATCAAAGCCTCTAAATATTTTCACGTTTTGATCTATGACATAGAACACACAGTTATAACCTGCTTGTGTTTTTTTTAAACTTTATTGTGTCTGATTGTGTTTTTTAAAAACTTTATAGGCTATAGGCTTCAAAATGTATAAATTTTGGATTAACTTGTAAAGATTATCTTGATAGACAA